ACATCTAGTAAACAATCAGAATCGCCAAGCAGCCAAACAGTTGAATCTAAGAGGTCTACACATGAGGTAACCTAGAAGCAACTACACTAACACAACTAACACAACAAACTATACAACTCCCAACAAGAGAGTAACAAACTCCCAACATGAAAAAACACAATCCGAAAAGGAGAAAACACACTACACAAATGACAAACACCTACTACACAACACAACCTAGAGAAGACCCTTCCCACGACCGTCTAGCACCTAAGCGCATAGCAGCACCCCCGGTCGATTGCCCCAAACAGACCGAACCACGCCCTGAGAAGCCGCTCCAGAAACTGCCAATCCCACCTAACTGGAGCCACACCCCATAGACCCGACTTCGCGTCCAGACAATCAACCCCGGTCCCGCGGCCGAAAAACCGCCAACATAACCCCCCTACACCACCATCGCCCTAATCCCGACAAACACCAAGCCCAAAAGCGGAGACCGCCGGTCATCCCCTTGTCCTGCACACCAAGGGAAAAAGATGCCACATGGGATGAAGCTGGTCGATCTTCCCATCCCAACCGCCAACACCAGACGGCTAGAGCCGCAGCCCTCCGGAGCCCTCCTCTACCCGCCACCGCTGTACCAGAAAAATGAAGACCAAACCCCGGTCAACACTAGATTGACGGCGAAAGACCACCAGGGAAGTCGTCCGCCTCCAGCGTCGCAAAGAGGGGCATCAACACATAAATTCCGCGGAAGGCTGCGCACCCCTGTGCCCGACGGCCGCCGAGATGACCCAACGACCGGATAGGGGAGGCTGGAAATTTGAAATTAGAGCCGAAAAAGGTAAAAGTAGAAAAGAGAGAAAGGAGATCTGAAGAGAGAGAAAAGCGACTTAAACGATTGAGAGAAGTGAATGTAGACAAACGAATAATTTTCACAAGTGGGAAGCTTCACAAGACCAAAATGTTACACAAATTCATATCCGCATGACCAAATGTGCAACGGATTTACATTTATGGAGCCACTTTATAAGTACAGGATATAGTTACATTGCAATAAATTTTAAATTATTATTGTTGGCGGGTGAAACTGACCAGCCTTTTTCCTATAAAAATCCCATTTCCCTTCTGGGCAGTTGCATCCAAATCAAGAAAATTGCCATATTAATAATTCTTATAACTCTAAAAAAATTAAAAAATATGAATGCAGGAGATGTAGAGTTGATCTCCAAATCCATCCTGAAGCCATCCTCTCCAACTCCCCAAACACACAAAACCCTCAAACTCTCATTTTTCGACCAATTAGTCCCGCCGTTTTACGTCCCCGTCATCTTCTTCTACCCGGCCGACAAAACCCGGTCACCGGCCCTGGCCAAAACCTCGGACCCCGCCCATATCTCCCACCGTCTGAAACAATCCTTCTCCCACGCCCTCTCTCTATTCTCCGCACTCGCCGGAAAACTCGACCCCGAGAACCCGGCCGCCGTCCAATGCTGCGACGCCGGCGCCCGTTTCATAGAGACCCGAGTCCATGCCCACTTAACAGACGCCATCAAAGACCCGGACATGGAAAACCTCATTAAGTACCTCCCGGCAGACCCCCACAGCGTCATTCACGAGAGCTCCCTGCTGGCCGTGCAGATCAATTTCTTCGACTGTGGCGGGATTGCACTTGGGGTTTGCTCTTCCCATCAGGTCACCGACGGGTCCTCTCTGGTGGCGTTCATGCTCACCTGGGCCGAGATTTGCCTCCGTGGCGGCCAGGGACAAGACCGTAAATTCCCCCAACGGGCAGAGTTCGATCTGGCTCGTCATTTCCCGCCCAGAGACCCGTCGGATCCCGGATTCTCGCACTCCATCTACTTGAAGAAGGAGAATCTCGTGACCAAAAGGCTCGTTTTCGACCGGGAGAAACTGGCGGCTCTCAGAAGAAGAGCCGCTACTAGGTCGGGGTCGAAGAAAGTGGACCACCCGACCCGAGTGGAGCTCGTCTCGGCTTATATCTGGAAAAATGTAATAGAAATAGGCCTGGCGAAAAACATCCAGCTGTCGGCCGCGTGGCATGTCTTGAACTTGAGGCCGAGGGTCACGAGCTGCAAACTGAAAAATGTGTTTGGAAATTGCATTATGAAAAAGTATATCTATTCGGAAGGTGGAGGAGAGCCGGTATTTCGCAACCTGGTGAGTAAAATGGGGAAGGGGCTTAGAGAAATCGATGAGGAATACGTGCGGAAGGCGGGAGATGGAGGTTATTTGGATGATTTGAGTAAATACTTTGATTTGGTGGGGAGTGGGAAAATCGAGACGTGCGGGTTTAGCAGTTGGTGCCGGTTTCCGGTTTACGATGTGGATTTTGGGTGGGGGAAGCCGGAGTGGGTCTGCCCGGCGAGCTGCCCTGAGAAAAATTTCAGTTTCATGATGGGGGCTAAAGATGGAGAAGGAATTGAGCTGTGGATTAACATGCTGGAATCTAGCTATATGCACCTTGAGAACAAATTTAAACTCCTTGGAAAAGAAGAGATTTGAATGAGTACTGATGGGTGTTCTTTGTTTTGTGTTTGAATGGATCATGATTTGGTGTGAGTAGAACTTGCAGTCCTCTGATGAAATAGGAAGTTGCCAATGAAAAAATCAATCGAGTAGCGAAAATGAAAGATGAATAAAAAATCGAGTTTAAAAAGGATTGCAAAACGTACTGTAACTCGATAACCTTCCGAAAAACTCCTACGGATCATGACACTATCTTTCGATCCGAATCAAATTCAAGAAAATCCAAGATATATGTTCAAAACCCAGTATTCACAACAAGCTAAATTTTCCTGGCCTAGCCCGAGAGAGAATAAGTTCTCCTAAGCAACAAAATCAACGTCCTTTCGATCGTCAAGTAGTTCAAGAGGACTGAATATCTCTCTAAGGGTAAATGTAAAGACTGCTTAAAATCTCGGAAGAGCTAGCATGAGAACCCCGTTGCGATTGTTCATCCCTTTCATCTATTTCTTCCTCTCCCTTTTCCTTCCTGTGGCTAACTCTTTGAATACTGTCGTTATCACTGTGTATTGAGGACAACTCCGGAACTTGACGATTGTTGTTGTCTATGTTTTCTGGTATTATCTGTTGTGCCCTTTTTACTTCCTTTCCTTTTCCCCACAGTACCATGTACAGTCCAAGTATGATCAAAATGCTACCAAATACCCTGCACAAGGCACATGATGAATATGTTTTGTCTGAAAAAAAGTCCCAGTTTTATGCAATACCCTCAAAAATATCGAGATTACTGAAATTTAGTTAACCGGGACACTTACATTCCGAGGTAAAGCTTCTCTTGCAAGAACAAGACCCCAGCAATGGCCACCATCACGAGCATTAACGGGTTGAATGTGGACACAAAGAGCGGGCCCCTCATGCGTATGCACCATGCGACCAAGGTGAACATTAGCCCGGCACCCAAAACACCCTGTTTCGTTAAATAAATCATCGTCACACTCAAAACATAGGACAAACATTAGGCTACAAAATATTATTATGCATTAAAAGAGGATTTCTTGTAAAGAACTTAACCGCAACAACTACGGCAAGAAGCCTGATATTCCATCCCAAGGCCCACTGGGCCCAATCCCTCTCTGTTCCCAATGCATATGCCGTGCTCTGAATCGAACCCCACAAGTTTATCATGGCCGTGAATGAGTAAGGGCACGGATATTTCTCGGCCGCCTTTGCCTGTTTCAAAGACACTCATTTTCATTAGTTTAACTTCACTGCAGAAAAACAATATTAATCAGAGAAACAGAAAATTTGTAACGTTCGATTGAAACAGAAAGTTTACTTAATCAAAGAAATTATAAACAACCAGGTAACCTGAACGATCAGCCAGAGAGAATAGGAAACACAACTAGCCAGGGCTAATAGTAAGCCCAAGATGAGATTGTGAGCCCCTTGTGGATTATGAGCTTGCCCGTTTGCTACCGGATGATGAGTCGAGGTTGTCTCGAGCAAGTTTATTCCCGTGCTGCCTATGTTTAAATCCGGGCCTTTGTAAAACGTGAAGAGCATCGCCCCACCTATTCCTATTAAAGTCCCGAGCACCTTTGCTTTCCCGGCCGATGTACTCCATCCCACCCTCTCTATCCTTTAATTTGTTTTTATTATTATTATTATTTTTTTTTTTGCACAATTTAATTACACTTGTTATATGATGATAATGCTGCAATGGGATACATATATATATTAGAATTTATTTAATTAAATTTACCTCAAGCTAGCGGCGATGATAAAAGTAACGGCTGGAATGAGGTTGGCCATCGCAGAGGCAAATGTTGCAGAAGTCAGAACAAGACTTTTCAAGTACAGATTCTGCCCAAGTGATCCCCTGCATTTATAAAAAAATCTCGATTAACTTCAGAGTTAAATCGAGTCGAGTTTTCCTATGAAAATTATCAACTTCATAACGGGGAATGTATGGCACGGATTGGACGAGAAACCGGCACGTGTCTTTCAAAAACGCAACCGATTAGAATTCGGCTCCATTATATATACGTATGGGTATGGCCACAAGTCAATTTCACAAAAGAAGAAAGAAATTTAACCTCTATCGGCTAACCGATATCAATACAATACCCGAAAAAAGATTTCTTATGATCAATACAAGACAAA